GCTAGGTGGAACTATATCAGCACGTGCGTTTGCGGCAAGGTTTTTAGCTAATCTATAGCCAACAAAGTCGGCAACTATGTCTTCTCTGGCCCTTTAAAGGATCCGGGAAGGTTTGAAAAACGAAAAATTCGAATTCCAATTAGAAAATTTGAAATCTCGACATGGATCTCCACTTTTTGAGTGCGTTTTATGCAAATCAGCGTACCATACGCAATCTGGGGCAGGCTAGCAAAGATCATTGAGAAATTTTAGGTGGAATTTAGCCCTATATTATTGAAGATCCAGTCAAGCTCCAATTTTTGCATTTGCCAAGTGCGCAATTAGGTTTTTGCCGATTTTAAATGAGCCCTGAAGCCAAAAATTGAAGAATATTAAGCGTGGAATACTACAGAAATCAGTAAAGGAAGAAATAATAACCAATAAAAAGTGAGGGTATTCAGAAAAAAATCGGTTATTTACGGATAGTCTGGAACACAAAATCTGAAGCAATCGATTAAAATAGAAATTAGCGCATCGAAGAACTGATTTAATATTCCGCCGTTTTATGCATCCCGCATCCCCAGAGGGACCTTGGAAAAGTGCATCGCCGGAGCGCCGAGTATTCGGAGAAACGAGATTCTAGCCAGGCGGAAGTAGAAGTGAAGCCGTCAAAAATTAGGGAGCAAGAGAGCGAGAGCGGGAGAGCGAGAGAGAGGGAGTGAGAGGGAGAGAAAGAGAGAAGCAGGGTAAATTATTCCTTCCCCTTTATCCGGCCCTTTCAACGCCGTAGGCATCAAAAATCGGCCGTTGTCAACAGGGGAGTGTCAGCGGATTAATTAGGTTTAAGCGTGAGGGGGTTTTCCAGCATGCTAAAAAAGAGAATGAATTCGCGGAGCGGGTTTTTTTGGTTTGGTGGATTTTGAGCGGTTTTTTGATCCAGAGAACGAGGCGAGAGAGAGAGAGAGAGAGAGAGAGAGAGAGAGAGAGAGAGAAGAGGGGGGGGGGGGAGGGGGGGGGGGGGGGGGGGTGAGCACGAGGCGCGAGATGGAGAGAATAAGCAAGAGCAGGGAACAGAGAGAGCGAGAGAGCCAATTTGCCTTACCAGCTCCTTTAAAATTCCCAAAATCGCTAGGAAACCATAATTTAGCCAGAAACTAAGAATCCACGACTAGTCGTTTGCCTTGCTGGTCCCTTTAAAACCGCCGAAACTACCCACCAACCCCAAATTTCATCAGTTTTTTGCCATTCTACGTGACCTCACAGCCCCAGGGTCATTTCCTGCATTCTCCCCGCTACGGCCCACACCCAAATGACGGACGGCCCACATGCGGAGGAGGTCATTTAACGAACGACGCAAAAACGGATTCCAAAGAGGGAATTCCTCCTTTCTGGGCATTGGCGGGAAATGGAAGGGGCAGCTGGCCTCCGCAAGACAACATGTGCACTTTTTGGATGCGGCCCACCCTTCCTAGGCGCCCTTTTTGAGCCCGGGGTCCTAAAAGGGGCTCTTGCTCTTTGGGGAGAGCTGTTTACGCTCCCCGCTCATTTCCAGAGGAAGGGAGCAAGGGCCCCGATCTATGGCGTAAACACCTAGCGGCTAGCAGGAAAGGGGGCTTCTGGAAAGACGACTACGTGAAAAATTGGGGTACCTTGAGGTTTCAGGGCATTTTTAGAGCGGTTTCAAGAATTTTGGAAGTCGGATGTCGACGATAGAAAACGAGATTCAATTAAAAAAGAACTTACGAATTTATTTTTTGTCTTTAAAGGCCCCTGCAAGGTAATGCTATGGATTTTTTTACCGTGGATTCTCATAATACACAGTCATGGTACCGGACGATTAACGGGGGGGGGGGGTGGAACTAAATCTTTTTCCCGCGTTATCTGTTAATAATAAATTGTGTATTTTTATAATGTTTTTAGTAATTTTTGATCTCTAGAAATTTACTATTATATTTCAAATATTTTTGCAAATTCGAAAATTTGGTTTTTTTGGGATTTTTCATACATTTTTACCGAAAATTCGAACATTTCGAAATCGTTAAATTTTTTATGAGCTTTTTATACCTAAAAACTGTGTAAAATGCTATAAAAACGGTGCATATGTTGTGATAAGATCTAATATTATCGGGATCGAAAAATAAGTTTTCCCTACTTTTAAAAACCCCCCCTGCTAACAGTCCAGTACCCCTAGAATGATCAAAAATCCTGACGCTCGGCTCGGGTACGTCAGGATTTGCGGGGCTAAATTGGGCGGATTCCACAGTGCTGAACTTGCACGCCTCTATAGCGCGGCATGGTAAACAATGGATTTCGTTTTTTAGGCCGGGACAAGGTTCGTTCGAGGGTTTCACGAAAAATTTAACCGGAAATGATCTGAAAGCCATTCAGCAATAGATTTTACCCTTCTAAGTCTCCTTAAAAACATAGGAAAACGCCGAGAATGTAGTCCGCAATGAGCCCCCGGGGCGGGGCTACTGTTGACTGTCAAAGAAACTTTTGGAAGGTCGGGGAAAGCCTACGAGAAAAAGGCTAAAAGTGTTGCGCAGGCGCCTCACCACCCCTCACCCTACAGTGCAAATATTCGCCCCTTGGCCAAATAGTCGCCAGGCTGTGCGTGGAAACGTGAAGCCCGGAAATGGTGGGGTGCTTGTTTTGCAGTAAAAACTGTTGCAAGGTAAGAGTACGTGACTTTCCAATGGACGGTGTGGACCAGCGCGTTTTTAGGGGCTGAATAAATTAAATTTCAAGCCCTATTCTTATTTACTCGATTGCTTAAACCTCTTTATATTTTTTCATTAGTTTCGTGTGATTTCATCAATTTATTCTTCTCCTTCGATCAGTTTTTACAGATGCTTTCGATTCTTTGAAAATATGCAAATTTGGGTCGGCTTCCGATTGAGAGCGACAAAGAGACAAATGGAGAGAGAGTGAGTGAGTGCGAGAGAGAGCGAGAGACCGAGAAAGAGAGAGAGAGAGAGAGAGATAGAGAGACAGAGAGAGTGAGAGAACTAACAGACATACAAAAATTTTCAGTATGCCAAAGATCTTGTAAGCGCCGCCCTTTTCGGGGTTGGCTATTTTTGGCAGGGCTCCAATTTTCAGTCCATAGTTCAGTGCCGTACTTTCGGTCATTTTTAGGGAGAGAGAGGGGGAAAGAGAGCGACACGATTAACTATTCCCCTCAATCGACACTCACCCTCTTTTCCTCTCTGGCTTTCTCACCGTGCTATGTGCATGCATTTTTCCAAATTCCACTCCGATCCACGCTCCGCCCCCCTTTTCGGCGCTTTCACGTTGTCTGGGACGCTGCGTCTCTTCAAAAGATGCGGTCTCTAGCCCCGACTCCCCGGGCAGACGCCTCGAAAACAACTGCCCGATTTCTGGTCCCCTAAAGTGCACCCCTCCCCCCACGACGACGGCCCAGATAAACAGAATATAGGCCCAGCGGGGCCGCGTGACCCCAAAAAAACGGACGTGAAGAGGCCAGAGAAGAAGCCGAATCGAACTGGGTGAGCAATGCACTTCCGGTAGATGGAGGCGGATCTTTGAAACCGTGGAAATGACATGATTTGATGGAAATTCGGTAAAATTGCTAGAAAGAGAGAGAAAGAGAGAGAGAGAGAGAGAGAGAGAGAGAGAGAGAGAGAGAACGAGAGAGAGAGAGAGAGAGAGAGCCGAGGATTAAAAAGTCTTCTACCCAAACGATTTCCTGATTTGCAATGACCTTTTCTGGGTTTTCTCAATAACTCACTGCACCCTTGCACCGAATTCCTCAAGATTCTCTGATATTCGGCCCCGAATTCCCAAATAATCTCTGCTAGCTTGCCTTCGCTTTCCTTAGTGATCTCTGCTAGCCTACCCTCGCTTCCTCAATAATCTTTGCTCGCCATGGCCTCGGTTCCCCAACGATCTTTGTTAGCTGTCCCGCTCCCAAATTATATCATTTTGCATTTTCAGCGCTTTCTAGCGTCGTTTTCCCTTTTTTAAGGCCCTTCATATTTATTGAGCACGCATTAATCAAAGGCACACGAATTTATCAGTAAAAAAAATATAAAAAAGCAATTAATATGAGCTGAAAATCTATACAAATAAAAAACCAGAAATGGGTACTGTAGAAACGGATTAAAGCCAATTTTTAAGGGGGGTAAAAGCTGAGATTTGGGTTCTGATTGTTTTCTTCTTGTTTTTCCAACTGAAAGCAAATGGATGGGGGGCAAAGCTGGCGAAGAACTGTATGTGAAAGCCGTTAAAATTAAAGCTACAAGCGGAAATCAAGCCAAAATCCGAATAAATACCGATAATAATGGGTGATGGTACGAGCCGCTACGACGGAGGGTACTGTAATCGGGTGACTAGTTTAGCAAAACACTAGAAAAAGAAGGATGTAAATCACATAAATGAACAAACACGAAAAATGCAGATCTCTAACAAAGGGGAGGGCGTACGGTACTGGTACGATGATAGAGAAAAACGGGGTACGGTAGAAAGAGAAATCTGGGGTTACGGTAGCGATAGGTGCTAAATTCAAAGGGTTGCTTACGGTAGTCGGTAGATTCCAAAAAATTAGAATTGCGGTTACGGTAGCTGGATAATCCTAATTTTTTGATTTTCATTTGTTTTATATTCTTTCCGTAGCTTTGTACCGGTTTTGATTTACGGTGGTTGCGGTAGTCGGGAAAAATTCTCTCAAGCGTTTAAAAAACCTAAATTTCGATTATATGGATTCTTGGCTTCACAATCCCTTTAAACTGGTTTGGACTTCAAAAAATTCAGTTTTTTTCAGTTTTCATGCATTATCTAGGAAATACAAAAATTTCTTGCCTTCCCAATGCCTTAAATGCCCTTAAAATCGACCGAATTACCGTAACCAGCAGTTGTCCGGCATTGTCTAGAAAATACACAGAATTTTCTGACTTCCCAATCCCTTTAAAATCCCTAAATCCTGACCCAACTACCGTAGCCAGCTCCTTTCCAGTATATGCAGAAAATACAAAGAATTTCTTAACTTCCCAGTCCCTTTAACCCCTAAGAATCACCCCAACTACCGTAACCAACAGGGATTGTTTCCCAAGGTACTCCACAGCGGATAGATTAATGAATTTGGCGAAATGGGCCCTTGATGGTGATGATGATATACATGATGAATATGATGATGAACACTCTGGGGTCCAGCAGCGGCCCACGTAGCCCAATCGAGTGTCACCGGCACCTCGAGGTACCGTAACGGATCCGTGCCCACATCCACCGTATCGCAAATCAACCGCGGCCCCAAGGCGAACACGTCCGAGCAAGCGGAAACCTCCTGCAAATTCGGGTACTTTAATTTGACAATAATTCCTATGTTTTTCATGCTTTTATCTGGGCACTCGACAAAATTTTTTAGGTTTAGAAAACGGCGTGCGTTTATTTTTGGTAAAATTTTAGTTTTAAAATTGGTTTCAACGTTCAATCACTTTATATTTTTGAATATAATTTTTTAAAAGTTTAGGTAATTTAATAAGAGCAGATTAAATAATGTATGTATTTTTTATTTAAACGGTTTTTGGAAAATACGAAATTTTCGAAATTCAAATTTTTTGAAAAATTTCAATTTTTCGAAAATTGTAAAATTAGGATTTTATTAATCAAATATTTATATTTATTTGAGTGTTTTGTGATATTCATCTGTCGCTAAAAATCTATTTGACTTAATATTAGAGCGAAAAAGGGAAAGCTTTGAAATAGCTGAATTTTCACCGTTAATTTTATTTAAATTTTTAGACTTCTAAAACACTCAAATTTTTATGATTTTCCTCAAGTAATCGTTATTTTAACAATATTGGGTGAGTGTCAGAAATTAATAAAACGTCAATCCATGAGAAACCAAGTAAAACTCTGGACTAGTCCCACCACCACTTACCCACAATAATAATGTTTGATGTGTACACGTTTATGGGGATATCAAAAAGCGTTCTTAGTTGTGTCTGGTGCGCTAGAAAACGGAGAATCAGCACGGGATGAGCATGAGGCAAAGCCGGGGAGGCTGAGGGGAAAGAGGGAAATAGCGTTTTAAAGGGATCGGGAACCGACGAAAAGCAGAAAAAAATTGTATCAAACCTTTAGGGTTCCCGAAGCCTCGTCAAACAGCCGTGCTTCGAAAGTAGGCCACCGAAGCTAAAGCATAAGCCAAGCATAAGCCAAGCCTAAGCCAAGCCCAAGCCAAGCCCAAGCTAAGCCTAAGCTAAGCCTAAGCCAAGCCTAAGCCAAGCCGAAGTCTAACTTTAAAGCACCCAAGGGAAGGGAAAGTCAAGCCCAAAATCCACGCAATTTGCATACCGTCTTAATTGTCAACGTCGTTTTGGTGGTACCGGTGCTGGAGTCGGTGTTCGTCACCGGGGCCGTCCTTTGGACAATTTTTGAAGTCGTCGTTGGGATTGCAGTTGTGCTGCTAGCTGATGCCGGCTTGGCGACGGGTCTTGCAGTGGCAGCGGCGGCTGTACTGCTTGCTGACGTCGTTTTTGAAGCCGTAGTAGACGGGGGCTCGGGCTTTGTCACCGAATCCTGGCGTTTATTGAGGAAAAAGGGACGGCTGGTCGGCTTCAAGACGCCGTCAGTGGCCGATTTGACCGTGCCGGTGACAGGCGGCCGGGTTACGGTGGTTTTCGGTGCCGGCCCGACTTTCTAAAAGGTGGAAGCGGTGCTGGGGGTGTGGCCAGTGAAATCGGGAAGCTGTGGGAACAAAGGAACAGCTGCGTAAAGCTGGAAAGCTGGAAAAGGCCGAGAAATATGCAAATTTTGTTACAGTATTTTTTAATTTCCTTACAACACTTTTTACGACACTTTTAATACCTTTTAGGGTACTAATAAAATTCCCATCACTTTTAATTGATGTTTAAGAGCTCAGAAAGCTAGAAATAACTGCTAAATCGTAAAATTAAGAATAGCAAACCATTCAATGGTAAAAATTACTGTATTTTCCGCTACTGTATCAGCTACTGCATTACCATAGTAGCCGAAGGTATTACGCTGTAATTCAGATACCGTAACGCTAATACTATAAAACAGACCGGAAATAGGTTTAAACCCAATTTTCCCACCTTGTCGACGACAGGATTCACTGTGGGTTTCGGCTCGTCGGCCTTCGCGACGGCTGGGGCCACTTTGGCAGTGGGTTTTTCTGCAATATACGGATAGTACAGTACTTTCTCTCTCTCTCTCGTTCTCTCTCTCTCTCTCTCTCTCTCTCTCTCTCTCTCTCTCTCTCTTTCTCTCTCTCACTCTCTCTCTCTCTTTCTCTCTCTCTCACCTTTCCTCTTATGCGATCCCCTCTTGGAGTCGCCCCTCTTCAGCTTGCTCTCCTCCTTCTTCTCCTTGCTCGGCTTCTTCTCCATGCCTTCCATTTTCTTCTTTCCGGCTTCTGACACCGTCCTATCCGACGGCTTCTTCGGCTCTACGGCAAACGACATCGGGTTGGCAGAGGGGACGGGCTCGAATTTTTTCTGGAAATTGGAAGTTGCAGATTTCGATAGCGTGACTTTTTCCATTCATCTACCGTATTCTGAGTAGCCTTCACGACATTTTGCGATTATATTGCTTACCCTTGCCGCCTCGGCCTTGGCTGATAACGGCTTCGGTTCGGCCTTTTTCTCATCCACCTTCTCCTCAACCTTTTTCGGCAATACGGTAGTGGTGGCCGGGGTTTTTGGCTAAAAATTGACGCGTTTACAAGTGTATTTTGTAGCCGGATTCAGTCAAAACAGTCCTGACCTTTAGCGACGTCCTTCTTCGGCTCAACGGCAAAGCTGGGGGCAGGTTGCGTGGCATCGGATTTTTTCTAGAAATCAGGAGTTTTTAAATCTATCAAAAATCTTTAATACAACAAGTTGCATTTTATAGTTTTCGTCGTTTCGTAGGTTTGTTGCTGTCAATGGAAATGGAATTTACCTTCTTGATGGACCTCTTTCTTGTCGTCTTCTCCTCGACCTTCTCCGCCTTCTTCTCCTCCACTTTTGGCTTTTCGACTTTGGCGGGTTTTCTAAAATAATTCGCATAACTTCGCATTAAAAATAATGGGTTTGAACACTTTCGCATTCTAGCTTTTTGCAGAACTTACACTTCCGGTGCATCTCTCAGCACAGAGCCAGCTCGAGGGGTCTCGCCGATCTGAAAAGCGGATTTGAACACAAAAAATTGCAGAGAAAAGAGAGAGAGATAGAGAGGAGAGAGAGAGAGAGAGAGAGAGATAGAGAGAGAAGAGAGAGAGAACGCCAGTGAGAGATAGTAGAGAGTGAGAGAGAGGATAGAGAGAGCATATTTTACCTGTTTCTGCCTGGCCAATCCACTCGTCTGTACCGGTGCCCATTTCGTTGGTTGAGGTGAGGCGCGGCCATTGATCTAAAGAAATCGATATCCAAAAACCCTTATATTTGATATACCTGATTATTATTGGGCTCGACCTTAGCCGGCTGCGGCTCAGGCGTCTTCAAACGGTTGATGGTTCTGAAGAAATGTTTTTGCAAAGACTTACTGTAACACTTTTCACAAAATCTTTATCTTACTTTCCAATACCTTGAAAACCTAAAAACTACATACCGTTGCGGGGCACCAATCAAATCCTTCGTCGTTTCCTTGTTGGCCCATAGTGACGCCAGTTTTGCAGCTGTTCCACGCGGGACCTCGGCTTCGATGTCCTCCTTTCTGATCTTGCCCAGATCACCGACAAAGTCCGCATCACTTTCTGCCGGGATGTCCGAGTCGGAGTCTTGCTAAAAAGGGCTCTTTTCAAGTTATTTAGTAGAAGCTAGTGTTCTAGCGCATTAAGTAATGGGAATTCTGGGGGGGGGGGGCGTACGGTATCTTGAAGAAGCTGGTTACCGTACCCTGACAAAGGTATCACGAAGTATCCGCTTGGGGCAGCCGAGCTCCGGTTGTGCTGAGGCTGCACGCTGGTACCCGCCATTGGACGGATCGAACATGGCCCTAATTCCGGCAGCTTTTCCGGTTGGGATCTCCTGAAAATGATGCACTAATGGGAGGGACCGAATTCCTTGCTGATTCCCACATTTTCTAGGGATTTTTGCTGCATATTTTTTTCCTACGGCAATTTGTCAAAAAACAAGTTAAACATATTTTTTGCGGTAGCAATATCTCTGTTTATTTCTAAAAATTGAAGAGAATTGGTATTAAAAATATTATTTGCGAAAACTCATCGAGATTTTTTTGATAAAATTCGATGATTTTTAAAATATGCTAAAATATGCAAGCTTTTTGTGAGGTACTGTAGGTATTTTCAATAGCCAGAAACAGCGCACTAATTTGCATGTCTGTGCCTGTGCATTTGCAATTTCCATCCATGACCTGTGCATTTTCCGTAGCTCCCATTTTCAGTAAAACTCGCAACGTAACGTACGACAATTTTTACACAAGATTTATTACCTCAAAATTTCCTTAAAAGTACTAAAACAATTTCAAAATGATTTGAATTTGTGCGTATCTCGCATGCAAAAGATTTTGGTGTCTTTTAAAGGTAAAGAAATTACAGTTTTTCATCACCATGGTGATGTATAAGATTGGTAGAAGTAGGGAGACAGAATTTGCTCGGTTTTAAGGTACGTTCAAGTTGCGTGTTCCCCTGGAGTAGGGCTCCGAAATTTGCATACAGGCCTTGGAAAGAAATCTCGACAGTATTGGCAGAAACACGGCACACTAATAGGGGGTGCTCAAGCTCTTTTCAGGGGTTACGGTGGAATTGGTGCATTTTAGGGTGCAGGGGAGAAGCCACAACTTGAACGCCAAGCAAAGAAAAGCGGGAATACAATGGAAATTAAGTAAGAATTTCTTAAGAGTAATGAAAAATACACGGTGATTATAATGCACTTTTGTGTATGGCTAGTGTTGACCGTAAGAGTAGTGACCAGAAATTGGCACCGGTATCTTTTTGCTATTACTAATCGTAAGGGGTTTTTGGTTGAGGAAATGCATAGGGAACTTGGCTACAAACTACAGGCTACAAAGCACAACACATCACAAACTACAAAAACCGCAAATAGTGCAAAATTCACAAATCAAAGCAAATTTTATATCATTGGCTTCAAAAAAGGTGACAAGCGCGTGATAAGCGTGAGGGGGTATAAAGCGGAATTTCAGGGTTTGGAGGAGGCTTGGCTAAGGAGGATGAGGGCATGGAGCAAGGGTCAGCTGATGCTCAATCTTCCTCATCTTCATATTCAGAATATTTTTCTTCCTCCTCTTCGGATTCAGAGACCAAAACTGGAGGTGCTCTTTTAGGCGGCGGAGCAGGTTCTTCCTCCTCATCCTCATATTCTGAGGCTTCTTCTTCTTCGGAAGCTTCGGCTTCATCTTCTTCCTCCTCTTCGGAGGCTTCAGAAGCGATAGGTTTTGATTTAGATGTCGTAACCGGTTCTTCTTCCTCTTCTTCCTCCTCGGTGGCTCCGGCTTCGTCTTCCTCTTCTTCCTCTTCAGAAACTTCAGCTTTAGATGTCGTAACCGGTTTTTCAGGCTCTTGATCGTCCTCCTCTTCCTCATCCTCTTCCTCCTCTTCCTCTTCAGAAGCTTCAGTTTTGGATGCCGCAACTGATTTTTCTGGCTCCACTTCTTCATCCTCCTCTTCCTCCTCTTCCTCCTCCTCCACAACCCTTCCCTCCCCTCCACTACTATCCACACCACCACCACCACCCTTTCCGATCTCTACCTTCTCCAGGTCGGCCCTCGAGATGTGCAGACTCTTCTCGTCGTAGCAGGCATCGGCTTTGGAGCGGTCCTGATGAAAAGGTAGATGGATAAAGCCAAAAATTCCGATACCTCATCATCCGAATCCTTCTCCATCTCCTCCAACAATCTGGCTGCTTCCGCTTCCGAGATGTCCGGCATCTCGAAGTCGGAATCCTGGAAAATCCGGGCTTACTCTTAGCTTGAGCGAAAAGGATTGACAGGTAAGAGACTGAGCTGAGCCTTAACATAGGCTTAGCTTAGGCCTAGGCTGAGATCTTGGCTTAGGCTCAGGCTTTGGCCAAGGCTTAAGCTTAGGCTTAGTTTAGGCCTAGGCTTAGGCTTGACAGTATCTGGAGCATTAACTACAGTACTCACGACATTTTCCCCTACCGTACCTGCTTCTTCAACGTCCTCTTCTTCCTCTCCACCGGTGCCAGCGTCTTCTTGCTATCTCTCCGCTCCTCCCCTTCCTCCTCCCGTCTCACAAAAGTGTCCTGTAACCGTATCCGGGGCACTGGGGCTTGAGCCTTGTTGTTCATGAACCCGGACTGCCCGTTCTGGTCCCACAGCGCTTTCATGCCACGAGCAGCACCGATCGGGATTTCCTAAATTGAAGCAAAATCGTAATTTTCCCAATCCGTTACGATACCTTTTCGATATCTTCCTTCGTCGTGACCAAGCTCTTCTCATCAAATCCTACCCGTTCATCAGAGGCGGGAGCCTGAAAAATGGAGGATTAGGGGTTTAGGCTAATTTATTAAAGAATCCCTGCTAGCCTGCATGCCTAAAGAATCTCTGCTAGCCTGACTTTCTCAAAGAATCTCTGCTAGCTTGCCTTTCTCAAAGAATCTCTGCTAGCTTGCCTTTCTCAAAGAATCTCTGCTAGCCATGTACTTCATTTGGAACCCTATTCGCACTGCCACCTACCGGTGGTGTACTACTCGCTCTCAAAATCCTGCCCGGAGCCGTCAACGAATTCTTCCAATCCTTGGCGGCCTTCTTCTCCTTTTGCCTCTCCTCCTCATCCGCCTCGAGCTCTTCTAGCAGTGCAGCCGCATCAGCCTCAGAGAGGTCAGGCATATCGATAGATTGCTCCTGGATTAATTTCACTATGATTCATAATTTTCGATTTTACCTTCTTCTTCAGCTTGGCATTCCTCAGCCGCTTAATCTCCTTGGCGACGTCGGTGCCCTTGCTGTCTTTCCTGGCTGTGGCGGCTGGGGCTATCGTTTTTTTGGTGACGACCTCTTCCTCCTCTTCCTCCTCCTCGGACTCTTCTTTGGCAAGGGTGAATTTTCGCTGGAAAGGACAGGGTTACTTCAGAGCTATACAATTTCGAGTATCTCGAGCTCCGTGAGCATCTACTTGCCTGCCATATTTCACAAGCTTTGAAGTCAATAATTTCTAGCTGTCTCAGCCCCTTTAAAGTTTAAACACTACTCACCCTAACCGGCATCCTCTGATCGAGCGGTAGAATCCGTGTCTGAAGCTGTGGAGACTGATCCTGTTGCTTGTCCCAAAGGGCCTTCATCCCGGCCGTCGTCCCCTTCTTGACCTCCTTGGCGATGTCGTCGGCGGTGATGTGCAGGTTTTTCTCATCGAAGGCAAAGTCGGGCTTTTTGGGCTCTGGTGGGGGGTCGGGCTAAAAATTGAGGTTTCTTTCGTCTTTCTTGCTTGCCCCTTTAGAGCTTCACGAACTAGGCCTAAAGAATCTCTGCTAGCTTGCCCTTGCATCCAGAGACCCCCTAAAAACAACAATTTCCAACCTTTTTCGGCTCGACCTTCTTTGGCTTCGGGTTGTCGAGCTCTTCGAGCAGGGCAGCCGCTTCTTCTTCAGTGATTTCCTGGAAAAATGGAATTTACCTGAATTCCTACGGTATCGCTACCTCTTCCGGATCCGGAATATGACGCGCCTGGGCGAGCTTTTCGTTGTCGATCCGTACCAGCGGGGTACCGGAAGTCATCGTCTCGTCAACGATCAACCCGGAGCGATCCTTGGTTTCAACCTTTTTGAGACGGATGCCGCCTGAAATAGAGGCATTGAGAGAGAGAGAGAGAAAGAGAGAGAGAGAGAGAGAGAGAGAGAGAGAGGGCGAGAGAGAGAGAGAGCGAGGCGAGGGAGTGGGAGAGAGCGATAGAGAGAGAGGGGAGCGAGAGAAAATTAGACAGAACGGGGAGAGTGAGCCAAAGAGAGTAGGAGAGAGTGAGCGAGAGAGCGAGAGAGAGCAAGAGAGAGAGCGAGAGAGAGAGAGAGAGAGAGTAGAGAGCTCGACGAAACTAAATACCTTTGATATTATTCAACAAATCGCCCATATTCACATCGGCGGCCGTTTTTCCGCCCAGCTTCTTCAGCCTCGGGTCGGTGACCTCCTTCTTTACCCGTGGAGGTGCCGGTGCGGAGGGGGGAGGAGGCTGAAAAATCATATGTTTAAATTTACGTTTCCTTATCAAGTCACAAAATTCAAAATTTCAGCGCTCAACGAATTAAAAAAAAATTTATTTCTATGGTAATATTTTTTGGAGCCAATTTCGTAGCACTGATTTTAGAAATTGGTATTTTTAATGGTTTCAACTCTAAAATGATAAACGTAGGCTACAAAATGACATACTAAATCGTTAAATTAATTTAATACTTACAGGGCCATCCCCTGGAGGAGGCGGCGGTCCTGGTGGGGGTGGCGGCGGGACGGGGGAGCGGGCTGGTGGGAAGTCGGGCACTAAAATACATCATACATAAACCATTACATCTTGATTTGGCGTCCTAAAACAAGTCCAAAAAAACCCACATGTAAATTCGGGAATGGCACCCTCCTTCTTCTGAAACAGCCCTCCCTCCAGCATCGTGTCGTCGACAATCAGCCCGGATTTATCAGAGGTTTCTGTTTTTCGTAGTTTGATTCCACCTAAAGTATCCATGTTTGAAGGAATTTGACTGTAGCAAAGCCTTCCGTTTTTTAACGAAAGAATTTCCGGCTTCAAAATTATAAAGCCTACCCTTTATCGACGTCAAAAACTGTCCCAAATCGACCTGGTTGCTCGTCTTCCCTCCGAGGTTTAAGAGAGCCTTGTTGGTGATCTAAAAACGTTTTAGAAACTGTAGAGTACACTACACTACCTCCTTCCTCTCTGGTCGTGGCGAGGAGCCGGGTGAAGCTCCGGGCAGGGGCGGTGGAGGCGGGGCGAGACATGGTGTGGTGGTGGAGGAGGGGGAGGTGGTGCTGAGGAGGTGCTCGCTAAAAACCAGTATTACTATTATAATAAATGTATTGACAGATCGTCATAAGCCTAAAAAGAAGATCTGTAAACTTACGCTCCTCCTTCTTGAAAAGCCCGCCCTCCAGCATCGTGTCGTCGACGATCAGCCCCGACTTGTCGTTGGTTACCGTCTTTCGCAGTTTTATGCCGCCTGGAAAAAGTTTATTAACAAAATCTGCGCATGTAAGGCAAAGCCTCGCCATCGAATAAGTCAAGCCCGCACTTACCTCTGACCGATTTCAAGAAGTCGTCCAAATCCATCTGCTGCGGGTTCTTTCCGCCCAACTTCGACAGGTTCGGGTTTGACGTGGCTCTAAAGGTATTTTAAATCATCTGTGAATTCTAAAATACTTTTTAAGGCCAGCCGAGGGTGGTGCTAGTAGTGATGACGGAGGAGGAGGTGGTGGGGCCATGGCCGGTGGGGGAGGCGGAGGTGGAGGAGCAGCATTCTCATCGGACTACAAAAATTTTAACTTGCTTTAAAGGTAATATGATTACATCTCTCTCTCTTTCTCTCTATTTCTCTCTCTCTCTCTCTCTCTCTCTCTCCCTCTCTCTCTCTCTCCAAACCCACCTCAGGCTGCGCGCTCTTTGCCCGGATCTTCTTCACAATCTTCTTCTTCGGCTTTGGTTCCCCATCAGGTGTGAGTAGGGTGGGCTTCGTTTTAGCTGTTGGTCTGAGCACTGGGTGCGAAGACGACATTCTGGCCGGAAGTTGGTGCTCTTTTTCTCTGGGTCTCACGCTCTCTCACCACTATTTATGATGTCTTTCTAACTTTTCTATGCTCGCCGACGAAGCATTTGTGAGGATTCTGAAAAATTCGGTTTAATAAGGAGAGAGAGACAGAGAGAGACACAGAGAGAAAGAGAGATAGAGATAGAGAGATAACGAGAATCCGGGAGCGAAAGAGAAACTACTAAATATATCGTATTTCGATAGACTCGCCAAATTCTAATTTTTGACCAGCGGTCCTGGACAGCAAAAACTCTCAATTTTTTTAACCCCAAAACGGAAGCGAAAAATGATAAGCCGAGAAAGAAATGGACTGTCCCTCGGCATACAGCCCGAGGGAGGTGAGGAGCAGGAGGGAGAGGTCGTTCCCGGATGGACAACAAAAAAGCCGTGGGAAATGAGGCGAATAGCATATAGGGAGACGGACAGACACTGAAAAAGAGGTATAGACACACAGGCAGACATACAGCCAAGCGAATGCCGGACTGTATGCATACATGGATGGATAAGTCAGGCTCGGGAGAGTTTGAAATATACGGAAAAAAAATTAATTAAAAAATTTTACAATATTGTCAGCGGAAAAAATAGTTGTTTGAAGTTTCGGCATTACACTAATTCGTCATTTATTTAAAGCGGCTGCAAAGGATCGCCATTGTGAAAACCAACAGGCAAAAATTTGGCATCTCAAAAACCAGTTCTTAAGGCCAGGTTGACCAAGAAAATCAGCATTACCACCGTCCAAGGTTACGAAAATCGTCGATATAAAAAAGGTTGCCATAAATAATCAATAAAAATAAGTCGAAGAGTTTCATGCAGAAACAACAACAAGAATGACTGGATTTCCCATCCATTTCTTCCTCCTCCTCTGCAATCGGCATATTGCCATCCTCGTCTAGAGGTTTCGGTTCCAGATACCCGCTGAATGGGGGCGACGATATGGGATCCTCAGCACCACCGCTTGCTACCACCCCGGGCGGCGGGGAATAAACGATAACTGTGATGGAGAACACGAGCTGGGAATTGAGGGAAGGAATGAGATGACGAAAGTGAAGAAAAACAGGAAGATATCGGCCGTTGAATGATCAAAAAATATAGAAAAAGTTATGCGGATTTAGCGATCAGTTTCGCGCATTTTGGAACAAAGCTGCTGTTTGCTGAACAAAGCTCGCTGAATTCCCTATCGGAACCCAAGTTTAACTTTTTATTAGACCTACGACAGAATACAAAATTTAAATCTTTGCATAAGCTTTTACTTAAGCCTAGACTTAGGCCGAATGAAGCCTAAACCTGGACCTAAGAGCGAGGTTTTAAAGCCGGAGATGTTCGACCAAATCGGCGCTAAACGCGGGGAACGTTTTGAAATCAGGTAAATTTGCAATAGTTGAGAACGTATTCGAAATCAGGGAAAAATTCTGTATCAGATACGCCAAATAGAATTTCAAAATCTACACCTACAGACCGAAAACGGAACTCCGCAACTGTCCAAATTCCCGAAAACCGTCTGCCGATTCCCACCTACCTCTAGGCATTGTCAGATCAAACCACGGAACGGGCAGTCAAGAAATACAAAAGATATGAAAAGAATATTGTCATCCCCGAATGGCCTCCACGGATGCGGACGTGAAAATCGAGGCGTCATGGTAAAGGACCGTGGGCCACGATCCGGGCCCACTTTTGGGCCCATCTCCCCCGCGCGCCCGAATCGGACAAACACTTTCACCCCCTCCTCACATGTGTGAATATACTGGACCCAAAAACAGAGACGTAGAAAAAGACGGAAAATCCCGCGGAACACCCACGCGGATGTCGAGAAAGGCAAAAATGCAAAGCCATCGAAGAAAGTTAATATCCACAGCTGGGGCCGACGTCCAAAAATACCGCGAATATTTCCGGTCTGCCCCCGGGCACGCCGACCACTGACTCATCTGGCTTTCTCCTCCCCTGCCCCGGGCATGCTATTAAGTGCTCCCTAGCCTCCAAAATTCCAAACTACGTCACAATGCCAAATTTTCGGAGGCTGACGAGTCATACCTGAAATTGAAATGTCTGGGTGACTCTGAAGGAATCGTTATAAGAGAATGCCAATATCAGTTTCTCAAATTTTCACAAATAAATGCTTCAAGCCCAAAAATCATTGCATCTATCACCAGGTTCTATATTTTGCAAGATGTCAAACCGAATTCCGAATCAAATCTCAAAAAGCAAAAGGTTTCGACCACGGAAGGATTCGAACCTTCAATCTTCTGCTCCGTAGGCAGACGCGTTATCCATTGCGCCACGCGGCCATGGGGATCGTGGAGAGGGCACGGGTAGATAAGGGATGGTGCCGCAGCCTACGGGCAGCCATGCCATGGAGTGGGTGTCACTCAAAAGGTAGGTCATGTCAGCCTATTCGTTCCTCATTTTCAATTTTTGTCTTGAAGGTCTAGTCCTTTTTAGAATTTTTAGGTATATAATTAAGCCATTAAATAGACATATAAATAAAGTTCTAACTTGGTTATCTGATGGCTAGCTTTTCCCCCGTTTCCAAACCCATTAAGCCCAATTTTTTGATAGCCAGATGCTGTTGGCTTTGTCGAAACCCGGCGGGACATGTGTTCGCCCCCAAACTCCCTCTTTCAAGCCCGAAATTCGCTCCCCGAAAAATCGAGAGGCCCGTGGGGTCATGTGGCGGCCCTTTGTCCCCCCAGGGGCCCGGCTATTGATTGATCTCGGGAGGCCCGGGGCAGTCTATTTTGTTGTGTTGTTGCGAGTTAAGGTTTTTCCGGAAAAACAAAGGAAATATGGTGAAAAAGGGGTCTTAAAAAACGTTTTCCGAATGCAAATTGGCCCATATTTCTTCAGGCGGGGGGGGGAATCCGGGGGTTTTTGTCAATAGACCGGGTCCGATTTATGGTCGTGGGGATGGGTGGGTGGAGTGTGGATAGTATAATTGGGTAATGGTAGCAGGAAGTTTGGAGGTTTTCTTTGGTAGTTAGAGAAAGAGAGAGACAGAGAGAGAGATAGAGAGGCACAGCGTGAGCGAGAGAGATATAGAGAGAGTCAGAGAGAGCGAGCGATAGAGAGAGCGTGAGAGATAGGGAGAGGCAGAGCATGCGAGATAGAGAGAGACAGAGAGAGATCGAGAGAGCGAGACAAGGAGAGAGAGGGAGAGAAAGAGAGATGGCGAGAGGGAAAGCGAGATGGAGAGAGGGAGAGAGCGAAAGATGGAGATATAGAGAGCGAGAGACATATAGAGAGAGAGAGAGTGCGAGAGAGATGTGAAGAGAGAGAGAGAGGGAGAGGGCGAGATGATGTTTATAATGGTACACGCCACCAAAAATTCGGCCGGCGCTGCTCTAAAGTGATTATCACAGGAAATCACGTGAAGATCGCTGAATAAAGAATAACTACGCAACTTTCCTACCGACGCACAGATCAGAGAAAACCCTCAAAACTACAACAAAAACCTGATGTATCCGGCGAGCATGAGGCGGATGCTGTGTTCCTCACCAACCCGCAGCAAGCGACCCCGTCGAGCTGGTGGGTGGTTGTCAGCTGTTGCCGAAAAGAAGCGCAAAACACGGCCAAGGGTGGCGCTTTTCTTAGGCTCACCGACGCAATCCGCCCATCAACTCCCCCGATTTTCGACAGATCCGATGATCAATGGGCAAGAGGAAAAAAGTTGCAGATTTCGTGGATTAAACGGGGTGGAAAGGCAAATTACGCAATTATGAATTTTTTGTATTGATCTAGAAATCTTTAGTAACTTAATATGAAGTATTTTCATAATGTTTTTAGTAAAATATAAGCATAGTTTTACTCGGGGACACTATCTAAACACTTTGAAAACGTTTTCAAAAAGTAGAAGTGAGAATGTGGGTCAAAATCGGCGATTTTTATCGGAAAAATTGTTTTTTTACTAAAAATTTGTAAAGTTTTTACGTTTAGAAAAAGTAAAATAACAGCTTAAAACACTTTCGCTATTCATATTTAAAAAATTCGTTTCCAGAAAAATTCCATTGCCCCGCCCGGCATCGGCAGGGGATCAAACATAAAGAGTAGAAGGTAGCATAGCGTGTTATCCACTTACTAACACCTTTAAAACGCCCTAAAACGCTCTAAAACTCAGCTTTTCGATTCCACTGGACTCCCCTGGCCACCCCCCTCCAGATGACTAGCATATTTCATATTTTGGCCAGCCAGGGTAGAAGGTATCTTAAGCCGCGATTTCTTCGGCCAACATACTGTCTCTTTTGAAGCCGCACTGAATCACAATTATCAACATTGCCCGCGCTTTCCAGGGTCGCCAGTCGCGTGCCCCGCGTTCACTCGCGTACTATTTGGCTTTGTGAGTTAGTTGGTTAGTTGGGGGAGGGGTAATTGTCAGAATCAACAACGCCCCTCCATACCTGAACGCTACCCGCCGCGCTAACCGGTTGGCCGGACCGGAAAATGGGGCAACATTTGGTGCGCGGGAATTTTGAGCAATGAAGGCGATTACGAAATCCTAAAGCTTTCTGGAGGCACGGAAACTAGCTTAGTCTACTAAAAATCTTTACAAATTAGCGGAGTGACAACATCGACCGCGTAACGTAATAGTTAGTGAGATTCTAACAAGGACAGGAAGTGAAAGTGGAAAAGCCGGCGTCAGCGGCAGGGTGAAGTGCTCTCAAGTATCATAACTATCATTCTGAAGTGGCAACCATGGAAAGGAGCCCGGTTTTTTTAGAGAGACGGAAATAGAATAGGATCCGGAAATAGTGACTTGAAGCATTGGCATCTTGATTCTATATGGATTTGTTACAAAAAATGACCGGTGATTCAAAAGGGTTTTAAACGTCAGAAATTTGGCAATTATTTCGTAATCATGATGAACCCAGATAGCAAAAATTCTAAACAAGATAGATTTAATAAAAAGCTACTACGGTATCTTCGCGAGTGAAGCTAAAGCCGTTAGAAAATGCATGCTAATTCAAATTGAAAATAAC